GATCAGGAAAAGGCCAGTGACATTATAATTATTTAACACAGCAACAATTCTGACTAGAGGGAGGAAATAGGGAGCAGGGTACCAAGTGAGGGAGGGGAACTATTGTTGTATGGAATGGAAATCCTGGGTAAAATCCTTTAGGGAGTTTGCCATTACTTGAATTGAGTTTTTTGTTGTTTTCAGAACAGGAGAAAAAAGGTAGAAAGGAAAAATGCACGAAAGTGTTTAAATATGTAAGATTTGCTTTTGCTGTCCGGTATTATATTCTGTTCATTGCTGCTCCATGTTATGTCCTTATGTGTGCTTTTACATCTCATCATCTGATGGTCTTTAAGAAAATATGAAAACTTAAGAACAAAAAGCCAAAGAAAGCCCACATTTGCTCTTGCCAAATCTCATCTCTTTAATGCAGAAGGATAATCATGAACGCTGTGTGGTTAAATACATTCCCTCTGTTTCTCAAATTATACTTTATAATCAGCTTTCAACTATCTCCACCACCACCAAATCAACATATATAAGTATTTTCTTCTGCTTTATGAAGCTAAAGGCTCTGCAGATCATAAGATAGATTCCTATCTCCCCAAACACTTCTCACTTCAGTACTCCATCACATTGCAGTGGATGGAATTAGTTTTTGCCACTTGCGATTCAGTGGGAAAATCTTCCCCAGACCTCAGCAAACGCCCCGAGCCCGGGTCTGATTTGGCAAGGTCAGACTGAAAACATCTCTCCACACTTACTTAGAGCAAGGCACAGCTCAAACCCTGCTTTGTCCAGCTGTCAGAGGCCTGAAGTGGGAAGTAGCTCAGGCACAAAGACACAGGGATTGATCAACTAGAAATACATCCATCGGAACTTGGGGGCTGAGGTGTCTCGGGATCCTTCTCTCCAGGCTTTTCAGCAACCATCCCTGCCAGAAATACAGCAAACACCCATTCTTTTATTAGCCCCTTTGGTATCTAATGAGGCTCAGCTTGACAGCTCCAGCTTCTGGATTCCTGCTGCAGCAGCCTGATCCTGCTTGTATGCTCTTGAGATAGGAGCCCGTGGGGGTGGGACCTGTTAAATACAGAAATACTGGGGAAAATGGGCTCAGGAACATCCCCTCTTCAGTGGGAGGTGGGAAAGAAAATTTAATTACTCTACTGCTCTAATGAATCCAGGAGAGAAAAATTAGGATAATTTAGGACTTTAGAGAGAGAAAATTTAGGAGTTCAGAATGACTGTGTCTGTTTGAAGGTAAGGCCACTTCTGTCATGCCTTGCTCACCTCTAACAGATTCAGAAATTAAGGCTGTATCCCCCCACAAATCCCAAAATCTGGTAAAAGGAGCAGAGCCTATTCACCAGTTCTTGGGCAAGAGCTGTAGAGCCAGCACTTAGGAAATTTTGTTTCCTTATTTGTGACCCAAAAATATGAATTTGGGATGAAATGAACAGGAAATTCCATGGAAACCTGTGTGCAGAGAATTTTCTGACTGGGCTGCAAGAGGCTATCAAAATCAAGAGCAAAATTCTAACTCCATCTATCCTTTCTTAGAGCCCACATGTGCCAGAGCATAACTCAGGACTCTACTTGGAAAGTGGAGAGACGCCCTGAACTTTGAGTCAGGAGCAGGAGAAAAACACTGAAAGTATAAAAACTGACGTTAGGAGTGTTCTCCCCCATTCAAAGACACCCTAAAATCATCAGTGACCTTGAGACAGAGAATTTCTTTTACCTTAAACTCTCCAATTTCTTAGCCAGTCTTCAGTCCTTAGGGTGCGCCCTTTGCTTTCATCCTTGTTTCTTGGACAATCTGATCTATTTGCCTTTGGGGCAGATAACCTCAAAATGCTGGCACTCAGGGAAAATTGAATGGCTTTGCTTCCAGAAGGGAAAATGCCCAAATAACAAGGAAGTGCTTTTGAATGTACTGACTCTAATTATCCCTGCTTCTTTTTTAATATATCTTCCATTGTTTCATACAGAATTAGCACATTTCCAGAAGTATTTAATAACCCCATTCTTATTCTTGAATGGTTTTATCTCCAAGTCTGTAACTTGGATATTGGGTACCCCTGAAAACAATTGAACCCAAGACTACCAGATGCTTGGAGACTGCTTTATTCTGTGTGTCTCACCAACAAAAATTCTGGAAAGATCACTACCAGATCCACAAGAGATAAAGGAGAGCTTGAAAGCTCTACTTCACAGTCTTATTCTTTATAGTGCTTCCCTCAGCAGCAGGCTTGCAGCAATGTTTTTTGAAAAAAAAGGTTATTAAGACATTACATCAATCAAAGAAGCTAATCAGAACAAAATGCTGATTTCTGTCTCCTGCTCTGTTTCTCTTTGGATGGAGAGTAGTTGCTGATATGTGTGCTGGACTTCTAATCCTTTAATGGGGGCACAGGCTTTTGAAGACCCCCTCTCAGAGGTGCTATTACCAAATATATGCTTCTAATTTAACTTCTCATGCCATATTACAGTAGCCTGAAGCAATTTTAGGTGTTGGGTTTGTGAGAAAAGCCCAATGTTGATGTTTATCAGATGACCTTTTAAAGGGTAATGTGGGGGTTATCCATTGGCATGATTAAGACCATATGTAGGTGACTTTTCCCAGGCATTTCTTCCCGCTTTTCAAAATCCCATCTATTTTTACCCAAATTCAGCCAGGTACCTTTCATCTCTGGTATGTTCACTGGCATGACAAAATGAGACTGAAGCAAAGCATTTACTCCTTTGGAGTAATTTCTTTTAGAAAAGTCAGGAAAATTTTCATGCATGAATATCTAATGTCAATGCTATTGTAGACAAGCTCCAACCCTCTTTTAATTTTGACACTTTCAGATATTTGCAGCAGTTTTCCTTTCCCTCCTCTGCTGAATTGTCCTTTTTAACAAAGACTACTTGAAAGACTGTGGAGAAGTGACTTTTCTCTGTGAGATTCAGCTTTTAGTGACCTTGCAGGGATGTCCTGCTATGAAGCTGCTGAGAGACAGGGATTTGAAGAATCCATTATCTGTATCACAAACAAGGACAGAGGACAAATCTCCCTTTATGTTGTGCCTGTGAGAGCATCATTTTTTGCCATTTTGGAAGCTCAGTATTTTCCTCATGGCTCATCATCTTGGTAGAGACCAATTGCCAATGCTTCCTGCAAGTGTCTGAAAATATATTATTAATATATTAAATATTATATTAAAAAATGGTGTTTTGTTCTTTTTTTTTATTAGTTTTTTTACAGAGTGAAGATCTTTCTGTTACTGGATCTCAGCAGCACCAGCTGGGATTGCTTAAAGAGATGCCATGGTAAGATTCACTGCAAAGCACAGGTGGAGATATAAAGGTGAATATGGGTGTTTAGATGGGAGCCAGGGAAGTGGGTGATGAGGTACAAACTATGAATTATGAACCCTTTTAGAGGAAGAAATAGAGCAAGCACCTTATGAAGACTTGAGTTTTAAAAACTACACTTTAAAGGAATTTTTCAGTGGGTAGGGACTTCTGTTCATGCAAGTAGTTTTTATGACTCAGTATCAGGTAAGGTTACAGCCTGGGCTGTCTAAAATAAGTGTATCTTGGAGCAGTTCAAAATTGAGAATCTGGTGATATTTTAAGTTTTTCTGCCCCAGATTAGTAATTTATTATTGGGAATTATTAATTACTCCTCTGCCACCAACCATCCTAGTGCTGAGACTTGCTTAGGAGATACAGGTGGGAAAAATGACGAGCCCCAAAATTATGTATGTGTTACCTTCAGAAAGAAATTAGGGGAGAAGTATCTGTGGTATTGTAAAAGGTACTAAAAACAGAGAAAAACCCATTCATTTCTGCTGATGTATTAAAGGGTTTTTTCCTAAGTATCAGATATTTATTAAAGCTTGGTTTAATAGGTACAGGTTTAATCTGGTGCAGGTAGACTGCAGTCAGACTCAAATTCTTGTACTTAATTGTGACGTGACGCAGTGAAAAGTTGGGACTGTGATAGAAGAGCAAGGGAAGGCTGTCACACAATTCCATTTGGAATGCTCTGGACTAGTGCTGTGTTTTCAGCAGAGAGTGGAGCCCTGGTTTGTCCGGGGGTGGGATGGTTGTGTCTCACAATCAGGTGCCTCTTCATGACCACCTTCCATCATGTGTCAGCCTGGGATTATTGAGGGTAAAATCAAGGCACTGCACATCACACCTGCTGTGGCAGCTGATCCTGCCAGCCCTGCCTGCTGCAAAGGACAAAACCCAACTTCCCCAGCTCTCTTCCCCTGGGGGACAAAGCCAGTGGCATTGCTGGCACGTCCTGTGCTGCACAGGAGCCGCCAGCCCCGCATGGACAGCATGCACTCACACACTGAGCCACAGGAATGTGCTTGGGAGGCAGAGCTCCTCACCAGCCTGACAGAGAATTGCCTTTGCAAAGGCAGGGGATTGTCCTGCTGAATTCAGGGGCAGAGCTCCTGCTGGCTTGGGCAATGCCAATATTTCACCCGGCTGATGGCCAGCCTCCGAGCCTGCCAGCCTGGGGCAGCTCATGGCTTGCCTGTTCCAGAGGACTGGGAAGATTTCAGGTTTTGAAAGGGTTTGTGGAAGTGCAATATCCACAGAGGCCAGCAGTCAGGTTTTGCCCTTTCCATGGTAATTACAGCAGCTCCTTATCTGGAAAAGCATTGCACAGGTTGGGGCTTTGCTGGAGAACACTTACTGATCTCCGCTTAGCCCAAAAGTATGAATTATGTTCAAATAGCACAAGAACAGCTTGTCCATAACTTCTGGTAATAACAGCCATGAATATTATCTCACCATTTCTACTTCTCTCCCTGCTTGTGTTCCCCAGTAGCTTGCAAAAGCTATCACCATAAAATTTAGGGTGGGATTTAACATGGGAATTTGGGCTCCTCATTGTGAAAGAAGGCTTTGAAAAAATTCAGTCTTAGCAAACAGCAGCTAATAATAATGATAATAATAATAGAGATAAGCCAATTCATATTTCCCCACCCAAAATATTTATATAATGAATTAGTTAATTGTATTTTATCTTCTGATGGGTGGGTTGGTAGCTTTTGCTTTGCAACAGACCCAGAGGAATTCTTGTGCAGCCTAATGCCAAGAATATGTGTTATTTCATATTCTGTTATTTGCTTTAGGTTTAAGGTGGTGAGAGGAAATTCCCCAGCAATCAGCCCTAAGTGGTTCTGCAGTGAGCAAGTCTTTCAGTGCTTGAACATCACTTAGTAGAGGTGGGGGGAAAGAAAAAAAATCCCTTTATCTGCTTTTTGTAATTCAGAAATTTGCCATATATCTAGAGAAAATCATTAAAAAAAAAAAATAAAAAAATAAGCAAGCCCAAACATTTGAGTGTACCCAAATTAATTCTGGTGTCATTTCATCTGCCTAATTGGGCCTAAAAATAGCCTGTGGGAAGGAGGACCAGCAGCCTCGAATGTCTGAAGCAATTTGTATCAATTATTTCCCAATGTACCAGTTGTGAGTGAAAGCCCTTGCCTGAGTGCCTCCATTAGCCAGGTGTCAGAGCTCTGTGTTTTCATCCCAGGCTCTGGGAACGGGGTGTGTGCACCAAAAAAGCACCAAGGAGGAACTGGAGCCTTGGCAGGACCGGGAGGGTGCCCAGAGCAGCTCTGCAAGCAGAATGAGTGCCTTCACCCCTCTGTCATCACCAGCCCCTGAGAGCAATCACCACCCACCAACAGTTCCTGGAGATAAGGCCGAGCCAGCTGGGAGAAGAAAGCCTTTGATATTCCCTGCCTTGCTGAGTAAGTATGCCATAACAATAACACTTTGAACTTTTACAGCACCTTTTCATACCAGGGGCTGAGTGCTCCACAAACATTCATTCCCCAAGCCTCGTACCACCCATTTGAGGAAACCATTTTTTTTCTTCTTCATTGTACCACTTTCTCAGGCCAGGCCTTCCAAAGAGCTCAGCACCCATTTTGCCAGCACAGGAGAAATTATTTCCTTTGTTTTCCCAAGTTAGATACCTTTGGCCAATATCAATAATGTTTACCCAGCCTCTGCCCCAAAATCCTTACAGATAGATTTCTTCAGGTCTGCAAAAAATTGGGCTGAAAAACTTGTGAACTGCTTTGTCTCCTGCTCCTAACCCTCAGAGCTCCCTGAAGAGAACTTTTTTGACAAAGCAAAATTCCATCAACCCTCCACCCAGTTTTAGTCAGACCCTTCTGTTGTCTGTAGCCAGATTTCTTTTTTTAGCTGATATAAAACCTTACAAGAAATGTAGATATATTTGTTTTGTTCATCAGAAGTATTTTCTGTGATGCTCCTCTGCTTGGAAACAGAGCAAGAACATACTTGTCTCAGACACAGACATACAATAGATTAATAAAAAGAGAGATGCTACATCCCAGATAGGCATTGTATTGTGCTTTGCTACAGCAGGCAACAGGATTAAACTTTGATTTTCATCTCCTGTCTGCATTCTCAGTGAGAAAATACAGTCAATGCCAATTCTGTAGTCAATCTATCTCCATGGAAAGTTGATTTTAAAGTGGTGCCAAATGTGAGTGAAGAGTCACAGTGAAGGTTTTCATAGCAACAATAACAGAGTCTTGCAGGGAGGGTGAGCCAAGAGTGCACTCTGCAGCCCAGAGGAAAAGATAGGTGCCTTCCAGTCACTGGTCCCTCTGGGGAGTACACAGATTATATTTTCTGAAAGGACACCACCTGTACAAGCACTCAGAGCATTCATCTCTACCCCTGCCCCTTGTCTGGCCAGAGCATCCAAAGGGTAAAGCCTTTCCATGGGATACAGCATTTGAGTTCTGCTCCAAAGTCAAACCTCTGATGCCTTCAGCTCTCATTTCCCTTGATGTGACTGAAAATCAATAAATCCCCTTGGTCTGTTTAATTCTGGGGCAAGGTACTAATGTTAGCTGGAAGTACAGCTATCAGATTATTCCTCTTCCTAAAGTATGCCAAAGTCTTCAGTCATTCAAATCCCATGAATCTGAGGCAGATAATTCATGCACTTGTTGAAGTGACCCTGATGGCTGAAAATTGAAATGTAAACTTCAAACATAGGGCTGCTTATCCAAGCCAAGCTTCTAATCTTTTGAGATTTGCCCATCACAAATCATAAGTGCAAAGTGGAAAAAAGGGGGAAATTCAGAGTGATAGAGCCTAGCTAAAAGCTATCAAATACATCATCTCTTCAAGTCAGGCTGGAACAACATGGAAATGGGATATAGCCTGATAATCGGTTGAACTTCCTTTAACATGTACCCCTGGGAAAAGAGAGAGACACTAAAGCCTAAATGTGGAAAAAAAAGAAGAGACAGAGACAGGCAGAAGAAGCAGAACTGTTTGAACAGTCTTTGAACTGCTGGAAAGATGTGCCCCCCACTTCACTTTCTTAACTTTCTCTGTAATTCAACAGCTGCGTTTCTCACAGCTCAGTCTGGAGTGGGCCAGGGGAGGTGGCTGGACACGAAAGAATAACACTGATGGGGGATGCAGGGAAGGTGTTAATCTTCTGCCATGTGTGTAGGTATGTACTCACTTAGCAGATAATCTCAGATCCTGTAAAGACAGACATTCACTTTAAAACATAGACCAAACTCGCTGCTGCCGGGAAGCTCTGATCAGTTTATAATTTAGCTTTAGGTCTCAAAAAGCACTCATCATTAAGGTGAAAGATGCTGAATTTGTGTAAATCAGAATAGCCCCAACTTCCCTGCAACTTCCCAGAGCATCAGTGTCCTCTGGCTGAGCTCCTGTGTCACTGCCACCACAGGTGACTGTCCTCCCTCTGGACAGGCAGGGCATCAATGAGGCAGCGGAAGGTGAAATGATAGAAATCAATCTGCCTCTCATTAGTGGGATGAATAGAAGTGTTCCAGGGAGAGGGATCGATGAGGGCGTGAGGAGATGTGTTGAGAACTGGCTGAAAGAGGGACTGAAGAAGGATGTTAATACCTTTTTTTTTTCAGATAGTTTGGAGTAAGCTTTGGAGGACTTTTGGACAGTGGTGTCTCAAGTGAACAGTGTCACGAACACTCTGAGTATAAACACTACTGAATAAAACAAGCTCAGGGGAGATGTTTTGTGTGAGGCAGGTGCCTTTATGTTTTCAGAGATTTCAGAGAGTTTTAAAACAAGAACCACACATTTTTCCATAATGAGCACGGCTGTTTGTAGTTGCAGTGGAACTGAGCCACTGAACACACACAAATATTCTGTAGCCATAAGATATGTGTGTGTTTATGTTTGCCTGAGCTCAGGCACACACAGGCCTACACAAATAGCAGGAGAACCACTTATACATATTTATTTCCCCTTTTTCCTACTAAGGTAGCATATTCATTGCTGTATTTATAGCCAAAATTACTCAGAGGAAAAAGCGATTTGCCTGTAAGCAGAAATAGAGACGAGGAAACATTTCACTCTGGATGCAGTGAGAAGTGTGGCATTGAAGCAGTTCTGCAACAGGCAGTGTGGACACAAGAAGAGGTTTTTTTTTTCCCAGGCCTGAGCACCTTGCATTTCTCACAAGACAAATATGGCATTGCTGCTTCTGGGACCGGGGCCAGCTCATTGCAATGCAGCACTCCAGAGGGAGACAAGGCAATTTGCCACGACACCTTTTCCATCTTGCTGCCTCCCTCACTGCTGCAGTTACAGATGGCCAACATTTGTGTCTTAAACATTTATCCTGCAAAATAGAGACTTTTGTACAAAAAGTATTTGGTGCACCAAAATATTTCCCTTAAATTTAAATTTTTGTCTTGTTTCGATCTTCAGAAAACATTTTGAAATTTCAGATGTTGTTTTTTCTCCTTTTTGTCACCTTTCTACTGTCACACACTCTGTTTTCTGAACACAGTAGATATTTGCCAAAGTTGACGGATTTGGTGGGGGGGGGACATTTTATCCCTTTTTTTCCCACTTATTTTATTATTTTTCCAATTATTTAAGGCTTTACCTATATTGTTAATGTAGTGCATTAAAAATTTGGCTAGGACAGGATCTCAGCCTCCTATCACACCTCTCAATGAAATAAGCACAAGGTAAAAGGTTATATTAGAATCATCTTTTTTTCTCCTCTACCTGAAGTTTGTACCAAATAGATGTAAAAATAGATAAGCATTTCTTAATTTTTTGACATTGAGCTTTTACATGCAGCCAGTAGCAGATGGAAACTATTACTGGGAAAGAAACAGAAGTGAAAAATTTTATAAATGTTTTGGGTGAAGGAATAAAATTTGTCTCAATTTGAGCTCTGAAATATAAACAACTTCAAAATTAAATGAGTATTTCGAAAACTCCACTTTATTGTCTCTGTGCCTTGTACATACAAGTTGATGGAAGGGTCTAGATGGGCTTTGGCTGAAAAGCAGCACTTCAAGTTCACAAGACACCAAGAAACCTCCTCTCTCCACACTTGGGTTGCATCCCAAAATCAGACCAAAACCAGGAGCTTTCAAACTCCTGGTGAGCTGGAATTTCTGAGAATATTTTCTTATGAATAGAGCAGAACGTGTTGCTCCTAAAACAAATCCTGTCTGCTCAGAGCTCCACATTCCTAGGCCTGCAGCAGTCCTCAAGGAATCAAGATGTACATGTTTTGCTCCCGAGTGTGTTTGGGATGTCCCAGTTTATTTTTGACAGGACTTGTTTCCAGGCTCAGTTTCAGCATCTAGAAATTGGGATGAAATCCTTCAGCACAGTGAATCTGTATTTTACATCTTAACTTGGCTTTCCCAGAAAAAAACCCAGAATGGGTGGACTTTCTCTGCTTCAGGTAGCCAAGATTTTAATTAAAGATTTTATTAGAGGTTTTGTCTGAGGCTCACCCTGAATCCTACCTGTGTCTCATGCTTTTTGCTTGTGCGATCAGCATTTTGTAGTGACCCAAACTAGTTCAGGTCCTGCAGAGGTACTAGGTGAAAAGGGATGGGTTCTGCATGTCCTTCCAAGAGGTTTGTAATATTAAGGAAAAGCTTGTTACAAGAAAGAGAATATACAGGGATGATAAATAATTACTCTCCCAGAGTGTAAACGTGTTTATTCCCACGCAGGGAAGTGGATTAGATGTTTCACAGGGAAAGGTCAGGTTTTTATGTGCGTCTTCCTACGACACCCATGGGTGAAGCTCTTTGGGAGCAGTCCTAGAAGGCTGCTGTTGCATTTCTGAGCATCTGAATGATGGTTATAACAGCACAAGGTGGTTAGCGGCCACTCTTGCCAGCATTTTATCATTTGTGGCTGCTATCAGAAGTTGATGGTTTTTGGCCATCCATGTGGAGATGGAGATGGGAAATGGAGATGCCAGGGGTCTGTCTCTCCCCAGGGTTACACACAGCAGCAGGGCTGGGGTGAGGAGCACAGGGTGGTCACCCTGGTTATCCCAGCGGGAGCGGGAACGGCGGCAGCGGCTTCGCCGCAGAGCAAGGCGGGAGGAAACGCAGAACAATCGGCAGGGAAATCCAACCCAAAATAACGAGCTGGCCTTCACGAAAAGGAAAGGTCACTGCTTGAAAGCCACGATTTGAGAGCTGGGAGGGGTTAAAAAAGAGTGAGTGGAGGCGACTCAATGCCTCTGCGGTTCCAAAGAATTCCTTTTTTATAAGGAAAACAATGCAGGAGAACAATGTGGATACTTGCAGCGCTTTCGAGGCAGTAGATTTTTTTTTTTTTTCCTTATAGAAAATAAATTGGAACAGCTTCCATAAACAAGAGGCATTGGCTACAGAAGAAAGCAGGAGCTTTTGTGGAGATTTAAAAATAACCAAAAGTAAGGAGAGCACTGGCAAAGCGTTCTGTTTTCTCAGCACTGCACGGAAAACACGACGCAGCCTCAGCATTTGAGGAAGGGAAAGGCTACGAAAGCAGATTGGGAGACATAATGTGGTAAACTTCAGATCTGCCAGATTTTGTTTTGGAAGCCAGTGCTTGATGATAGGTTACCTCATGATGGGAATTGGATTGCAGACTTTGCCAGCTCTTTACCCAAATATTTAAAATCTTTCAAAACATTTTTTCTCCGGCAGACCAGTTTATTCCAACAAATTGTACTACCATGCACTGTGTCCCAACTCAGTCTGGTGCTTAGAGCTGCCCATAACTGAATATTCATGAATTCCAGGCAAACATCGTGGTTTGCTGTGCTCATGTACCTGACAAATAAATTTACCACACAAATAAAGAACACTCAACCCCCCCAATGCATTAACCTCAGCAGCTTTAACGTTTTAAGGGCATTTACTTACCTTTTTCTTTTTTTTTTTTAGTTGATAAACATAAAGCAATTTTGGTGGTGTTACCTGATTCCTGACCTCTCTAATTACACTAGTGCCAGCATATCCTCTGATGCTGGAGAGGGTTTTTGCACTGGGAAAGCTTATTTTATTTTTCTGAATGTAAATAAGCTGCTAGTATGCCCAAGTACACAGCAATAAAACACTTCCATTGTTAAAGAGAATTTGGTACTTAAAAGTAGGGTTTTTTAAATTTTATTTTACTGTGGGTGTGTCTCCAATGAGTTAAAAGTCACAAAAATGTCAATATTACAGCCAAAAGATCTTTATCAGCTAGATGTTGAGGAAAAAATACACTTGTACTTCTGTACTGGCTATTTGTGTTGATAAGTGCAAGCTTAATTCCTCTCTCTTGGTTTCACTTGACCTAAGTGGCTGTATGTTTCTTTATTTCCTTCCCCCATAAGAAATATAAAATTACTGATGAAGGTTGAATATTTCAATATCAGTGAACTTTCTTGTAGTTGTGCATCAACCTGCACATTTTAGTTTTTCTTTGACCTTTGTCATTGAACATCTCTGAAGTCCAGAGTGACCAGAAATTACTTCTGGGATAAAGGTTTTGTCATGTGAAGTTTTTCTGGCAAATTTCTAGCTTGCACCAGTGGAAAGCTTACAGTAACTGGCCATCTAAACCTACTCCACCAAGCTTTAGGCAGAGGAGGGACAATTGCAACCTGGTTTCTTTAGGATAAACCCCATGGAACGAGGCAAGTCAAGGGATTCAAAGCCTCTGAGGGAGGGTTGTTTGACTGCACAATCAGCCTGAATCCTGGCCCTGGGTAAAACAGGCCTTAAATTCAAGATCAGATCCTTTAGTGCCCTCAAGTCAGCACAGAGGAATCCCCAGGGTCCCTCCCTCAGGGCTCCATGGGATGGACACACATCTGCAGCTGGGAAACCTCCTGTCAGCAGAGAACTTGGGAAGAACTGCTCTGGTAGCATTTGGGATTCAATTTCAGGCATCAGTGGTGATGTTAACACAGTCAGAATGGCTCACTCACTCTGGTGTGGCCTCAAAGGCTGCCCCTGCTGATGGCAGGGTGTGTGCAAGCCTCTGCTGAGCAGGCAGCAGGGTCAGAGCACAGCAGGGACAGAGATGGGCCAGCCCCAGCACATGGAAATGGATCTCTCCAGCTGCACTGCCAGGTAAAGTGACCAGAGTGCTCAACAGAAACCAGGCAACCTTCACATCTCCAGGGCCAATGACTCTGGTACCTTCAGAGCTACACTATCACCCAGCTTTTTTTTTTTCCTTTCTTCAGGCCTTTAGTCACCTCTCAGACAGACAAATGCTCCCCTTGGAGGCTGCCATGCCCTGTGCAGTGGGAAGCCTGGCAGGTGACCCAGTTAGTGGGAGGAGGGCAGCTGCAAGCAGGCAGCCACCAGGAAAACTTGGGAGTTCCAGTGGTTTCTGAGGCCTGAGGAATGGGAAGATGCCCTCGGCTAAGCAAGAGTTAAGCACAGCCATACAGAGGCCTGGCTGTTATGATTTAAGGTAGCTTCAGTGAATATCTGTAAAAGTAGGATATAGAGCATTGTGCAGGAGAAAGATAACTCTTTATGTAAGGCATGACCTGGGGCATCATGCCAGGCTATCATTTCCAGATTTGGAAGGATTCGGTGTTTTGTATGGCATGATGGAAAGTTTTGAAAAATAAGATTTCCTCTTCAGTGCAGGTCAGATGGGTGGCACCTGGCAGCTTGTGCACTGCCATTGTGTTGGCCTGCGTGCCTCTCCTTCCCTCCCTGCTCCACAGGCACAACACAGCAGCAGCAGGGAGAGGTGGGTTTGTCCTAGGGGTTACAGGAGCTGTGTGTGGGTATCTGAGCCAATGTGGACTGTCGTGACTGAGACCTCAGGACCTGGCAGTGTCAGCT